CCGCCTCAGCCTTCTGAGTAGCCGGAACTACAGGCATGCACTACCGTGCCCGGCTGATTTTTTGATTTATTGTAGAGATGAGGTCTCACCAAGTTGCCCAGGCGGGTCTTGAAACCCCAGGCTCAGGCTATCCACTTACCTCAGCCTCCCAAATCGCAGGATTACAGGCTGAGCCACCGAGCCCAGCTACAAAAAATCTTATACTCACTAAAGTTTCATTAGTTTGGAACTCATAGTTTCATGCCACCCCTTTTGGAAGACAAAAATGTTCCAAGAATTGGAAATGTGAGAAAACCTCAGTACGGTTCCTTAGATTTTGAAACTCTCAGAATCCCTTTAGTTTCTTCAAGTGTGCTGTGCTGCCAATAATAACAGTTTCTGACTTTAACTCCTGCCAAAAATCAGAATAAAACTGGACAAAATATCCTCCTTTTCTTGGCGGGGGCCGGGTGTATAGTCCCGCTCCCCGTTATGTACAGAGGCAGAGGGAAAGGGCTCCGGTTCCCTCGGCGTCATGTCTTCGGTGCCGGCGGCTTCTTGTCCACCGGTTCTATCCTCAAGCGCCGAGACACCCGGAAAAAAAAAGAAAAGAGAAAAAAAACTGGAAAAAATATACAGAGCTGATGTTGTCAAGCCTTGGAAAAGACACAGCAAAGGCTGTAACCTTGTAGGGAAGGATAGTATAGTTGGCAAGATTATATTATATACTCCCAAATTACTGCCTGAACACTTTCGCATTGTTATGAACCTAGTGGGTTTGAGGGTGGAGACAACAGAGATCTGACCCCAGATCTGGGGAGGTGACAGAGAAGCCTGCAGTTGGATCTTCTTAGGAGTTCTCCTCAAAGCAAGGGGTAATTCAAAACCTCTGACTGAGCTTCAGTTCCTCTCACCACATATATAAAGACTCTCCGTGCATCGAAGGTCAGGTGCATAGCAGTACTGGTCCTGCTTATTTATCCAATCTCGGCTGTAACCACAGGATGGAAACCACCCAGGATGATGAAGTTTTCATTGCTTCCTCCTAGACTCAACAGTTAACACCAAGACCTAATTCAATCCCAGCCCACACAACATGATGGTTCTGGATTGTGTGGCATGGAATGGCAAGTAATTCTCTGAACTTTATGCTGGAACTACCTGGTTCTAGTTTTTAATTCAGGCTATACCTGACAATAGTTAGATGGGAACACACTGCTAAAATGCCTCCAAAAGTATACTGTGGTCTTGGAGTGGGGGTCCAAGGGGAGAACAATAGGCTGATCCAATTCCTGTCTCTTTAATTTTCTAGCAAAGAAGTTTGAATAAAATGAAATGCAAAGTGATCTAAAAGGTGGCAGCTTTCTGTCTAGTAATTGTGGAGATGAGATTTCAAATGTGAAGTGAAAAAGTAGATTTTCCTTGTTCAAGCTATATTAAGTGAGAAAAGAAAACAGCAGTCTGTATATAAAGTATATCTTTATTGTCTTTAACATGAACAACTTGTATAAGGACATATGCAAACACACAACACACAGAATAATGAACAAATATGCAGACACAATTTTCTGAGAATAATACTCACTGCAAATGTCAAACATTGTCATTCTTTATTTATACAATTCTTTTTTAGAGATGAGAATCTCACCAGCCTCGAATTCCTGGGCTTCAGGGATTCTCTCTTTTCAGCCTCCTGAGTGGGTGGGACTACAGGCACAATTTTACCTTCCAAGCTGGAATTGCTCGGTGCTTTCAAGAATGAAGAATAGGTCAGGCTTGGTGGCTCAGCCTGTAATCCCAGCACTTTGGGAGGTCGAGGTGAGTGGATTGCCTGAGCCCGCGGGTTTGAGATCAGCCTGGGCAATTTGACGAGACCTTGTCTCTACAATAAATCAAAAATTAGCCCGGCATAGTAGCGTGTGCCTGTAGTTCCAGCTACTTGGAAGGTTGAGGCAGAAGGATCGCCAGGGCCCAGCAGGTTGACGCTGGGTTGGCCGTGAGCATCCACTACACTCCAGCCTGGGCAACAGAGTGAGACTCCAACCGCCCCCCCCCAAAAAGTATTAAGAATAATCTCATTTTGGAGACAAAACCATCCAGGTGACAATTTTAATTACGTCCTAATCTTAATGCCATGTTTTTGTTTTTTTTTTGAGTCAGTCTCACTCTGTCACCCAGGCTGGAGTGCAGTGGCCTTAGCCTTCCAAGTAGCCAGAACCACAGGTGCGCTCCACCATTCCTGGCTAATTCTTTGATTCATGTAGAGATGAGTTCTTGCCAAGTTGCCCAGGCTGGTCTCAAACCCCTGAGCTCAGGCAATCCTCTCACCTTGGCCTCCCAAAGTGCTGGGATTACAGGCTTGAGCCACCACCCCCAGCCTAGTTACTTATTTCTAATATGAATTTACTCAATGACAGTGGAAGGAAATTGCCATTCACTAAGAAAAATAAAAAGTGGAACATGTATACCTAACACTGAATTGTACACCGCATCTTTAAAATAAAAATTTTTTTAAAACCCAAAAAGCTATTAGGAATTTCAAATTAAAGGGGGTATAACTTCTGTATTTTTGTACAATGAGAATGATATTACCTACCTTATGGGGTTCTTATGAGACTATACAGCATTACAATGTTCAAAGTGTCTGTCACATAATGGATGTTCAGTAAGAGACTATAAAATAAACTCTGGGTTTGAGACCAGCCTGGGCAACTTGGTGAGACCTCAGCTCTACAATAAATCAAGAAAAGTAGCCGGACATGGTGATGTGTGCCTGTAGTTCCAGCTAATTGGAAGGCTGAGGCCGAAGGATCACCTGAGCCCAGCAGGTCGAGGCTTCAGTGTCCGTGAGCGAGCCTGGTAACAGAGTGAGATTCTAACTAAAAAAAAAAAAAAAGAATATAAAGAAGGAAACACCAAATGAATAAAAGTCTTACTCAGTTGGACATAATAATTGATCATATAGGCAAGAATGTTGTCTCCTGTGGTTACTGTAGACAGAAATCCACTTTTCACTCCTACTACAGCAGGACGTATGATCATTCATCTATCTTCCTTGTCTTGGGACTAACTAGTGGCCAGTTCTCTCTTGTCCAGACAGACTGAGAAAACCGATTCTAATCCTTCAGACCATTCATTTGAATTATAATACAATAATGCCTTGTTATAATACAGTAGATGTTTATTAGCATCTTCTTCCAGTGGAGGAATTTTGTATCTGACCGACGGTTTGAAATATGTGAATTTGGATGGTGTAGCCTCTGGACTCATCAAGGTAATATTTTTAGCGTGTGGGAGGTTGAGTTTTCCAAAATCTTAAATGATATTTTTCCAAATACGTAGTTTATCAGTTACAGACACGAATCCCCAGAAATCTCAATATGGGATCTAAGGAGGGGCAGTGCCATCCCCGCCCTAGAAGAAGAACTTGCCCTTAAACACGAATCCGGTGAAGTGGAGCTTGGCTTTTTCTGTAAAAGCCCTTCAGTGGATCTTCCCCATTATGACCTTGGAACCTGAGGGAACCACATGGCCCAGAACGCTCTGCGTCGAAGGACAGCGAGACGCGACCAGTGAGGGCTCAGAAAAGGGCGCTTCCGGGTGCGCACGCAACTTCCGGGCGGGACTTCCGGCGCTCTTCGGCGGCAACCATTGCTTGGGAATAGGTGTGTGGATCGGGTGAGAGGCTGTTCTGCACCGGGTGGGGACCGCGGAGACTGACCCCGGAAGGTGGAGCGGAGTCTCGGTTTCTGGACAGCGGGACTCTGAAGGTCCGTGGAGGCGCCCGGCGGACCCGCGTGAGGTCCGGGAAAGTGACCGTCGTATCCGGTTCCCGCCTCGTTTCCCTCTTCTTGGCTCCCCGCCTTTCCCTCCCAGTCCTAATGGCGGCCGAGGCGGCGCTGAGGCACCAGGCTCAGGTGATTATTGCGTCTCTCGTGTCCTCAGGTGCCTTCGTGCAAGTCCTGCAGCCCCCAGTGGGGGTGCCAAACACGTGTCAAACGTGTGTTCATCCCGGACCGCGGTATCAGGACAGTGAGACCCGGTGGGTGGGGGTCCCGGTTTCTGACGTCTCGTGCTCTGCGGTATGGGAGCGAGACAGACAGAGGGACCGGCAGGTGCAAAGGCTTGGAGTGAGATGAGCCGGGAGGGCTCGGAACCGGGGATCGACAGGTGCCTGTGGGGAACAAGGTGTGAGACGGAGTTACTCCTGGAGTAGCTGGCTGAGGGTTGTAGGGTCGTTGGTAGGCCTCCAGAAGCCATGGAGAGTTTTGGACAAAGGAAGGGCGTGATGAAAGTTCAGGCTTTAAAGCCCGGAGGAAAGCAGAATGTAGAGGTGATGAGGACATTGGGGCCCTGGGAGGTTGAATCTTTTTTTTTTTTTTTTTTAAAGAAAGAAAAGATTTATTTAATAAAGAGATAGGGACAGGCGCAGTGGCTCACTCCTATAATCTCAGCACTTTTAGAGGCCGAGGTGAGAGAATTGCCTGAGTCCACGGGTTTGAGACCAGCCAGGGCAACTTGGTGAGACCTCTCTACAGTAAAACAAAATATTAGCCGGGCATGGTGGCACATGCCTGTTGTTCAAGCTACTTGGAAGGCTGAGGCTGCAGTGGCCATGAGCATGCCACTGCACTCCAGCCTGGGCGACAGAGGGAGATTCCAACTAAAAAAAAAAAAAAAGTAGAAGCAAACGATAACCTGCCACAGACAGGGGCTGGCATTATTTTAGAAAATGTAGTTAATTTAAGAGTAAATTTGAGAGAGAAAAGGGAGAGAGAAGATTCATCTCCCCAAGGTGGGGGAGGGGGCAAAGCCAGGAACCATGGGACAGCCATAGCTCAAAGAGCACAACTACACCTAAGTCTAGCAAGGTAATGGCAGGAGGTTGAATCTTTATGTAGATCAGGTAGGTGGTAGAAGTGGTATTTGGCATTAAGGCACTCAGGTCAGACAACCAGCCCGAAGTCACCGGGATCCAGGGGCAAGAAAACGTACAGGGGGGCCTGATCTGTTCAAATCTCATCAGGGACACATTCTTTTAACTTCTTCCTGTTCAGGAACTCATGGCTGCACAAACATTTAAGGAGCTCTCACAGGGAAGTGGAGAGTTTTTCATTCCGTTACAGGTTCTGTGGATTGTAGCGTCCTGGGATTCTTAAGTACTATTTTTTCAGTTCTTTGACCTGAGAATCCTGGAAAAAGCCGAGTTTTACATCCATGACACAGATTACGTGGAGTTATCTCTGTTTCAGTCAACTGATGTAAATACACTTGGAAGATTAACTAGAGAATTGGTAGCAGTGAAATGCTGGCTCAAGGTATTTTGGCACTACAGTAAAGGAAAACAAAGTTTTATATCAAGGAGGCAAGCAAGTATATTCCAAAGAGTCAAGAGGAGTGGGCTGCTCGGAGAGTCAGTGCTGTTCATTTTTCTGGGTTGGAAAGTCAGTTTTTGGAAAGTCAGAGTCCCCAGAATTTCTTTTGTTTTAACAGCTCCAGTTCTCTATTGTGTTGGTTAGTTGCCTCTCAGGCTTGGCTGCACCCTTTGTTTGGTTGTTACAGCCTGGTGAAATTGACTAAATAACTGAAAGTCAGTCATCTTCTTGTACTTTTACCTTCCTATTTGTCCCCTGCTCATGTCTGTTTTAACTCCTTGACATTTTCCCCCCTTTAGTGATTTTGGCCAGAATCTTTTGGGAGCTGAGTGGGGATGTTTTTTTTAACTGCTTTCTACTGAGAAGGGCCATAGAGCTAAATTGGTCTAGATCACTTGCTCTCTCTGTCAGGTGGACGTTTGGGAAGAAAAGTTTCAGAAGCACTTTGGCTTCAATCATTTAAAGGGCTACAAAAGGCTGGTTGGTGTGGTATCTGTTGGTATCTTTGAATTGTGATCATTGAAGCTGAATCTTTTCAACCTTTGGCAGTCTCAGGAAGCTTTCTTCTGAAGAGGAACTTCAGGTTCTTAACAGGCTCACAGTTGTATATCCTGGTGTGTGGCTGCAGGCTGAGGATCTTGAGGGTTGTTGTTTTTTGAGTTGGAGTGTCACTCTGTCGCCCAGGCTGGAGTACAGCAGCACACTCAGGCCACCGCAGCCTCGATCTGCTGGGCTCAGGTGATCCTTCTGCCTCAGTCTTCTAAGTAGCTGGAACTACAGACACATGCCACCATGCCCAGCTAACTTTTGTGATTTATTGTAGAGAGGAAGTCTCACCAAGTTGCCCTGGCTGGTCTCGAACCCTTGGGTTCAGGCAGTTCTCTCGCCTTGACCTCCCAAAGTGCTAGGATTACTGGCTGAGCCACCCTGCCAGGTTTTTTTTGTTTGTTTGTTTTTATGCAAAGACTTAGAAAAAGGTTTTATTCTGGAGATATGTACTCAAGAGTTAACTTCCTGGAACTTAACTGCCTTAGGGATACTTAAAAGTACTATGTATGACCCCTCCCATTTGGAGAGTAACTGATTCCGAGGAGTTTATTTTCTTATGAGTCTTGAGTTGGTTTTCAGGTTGTGTCTTTGGGAGGTGATAAAGGTGACAAGGGTAGAACAGTTACTGGTGTTTTGTTTAGAGCTGGCAGCAGCAGCAGTCAGATGGGTACTTTTGCTGACTTTTGTAGTTTCTTTTTTTTTTTTTGAGTTGGAGTCTCACTCTGTTGCCCAGACTGGAGTACAGTGGC